CCACACCGGGGAGAAGCCCTACGAGTCTGGGCAATGTGGGAAGAGGTTCAGCAGGAGCTCCGGCCTCATCGAGCACCAGAGGACCCACACTGGAGAGAGGCCGTACGCGTGTGTGGAGTGTGGAAGGAGGTTCAGCCACTATTCTGCCCTGATCGTGCACCTAAAGATCCACACTGGGGAGAGGCCCTATGAGTGTTCCAAGTGTGGGAAGAGGTTTAAGACCAGCTCCTGTCTCCTCCTGCACTATCGGATTCACACGGACGAGAGGCCCTTCCAATGCCCTAAGTGCGGGATGGGATTCAGGGACAACTCCACCCTGATGCAGCATCAACGCATCCACACCATGGAGAGACCCCATGAGTGTGAGGAGTGTGGGAGGAGCTTCAGAAGGAGCTCCTACCTGATCAGCTACCAGATGATCCACAATGGGGAGAGGCCCTACGAGTGTTCTGAGTGTGGGAAGAGCTTCAGCTGCAGCTCCAGCCTGATCCAGCACAGGAACATTCACACTGGAGAGAGACCCTACAAGTGTGGGCAGTGCAGGAAGAGCTTTAGCCACCATTCCACCCTGGTCAGGCACCACATTCACACTGGGATTCACACTGGGGAGAGACCTTACAAGTGTTCCAAGTGTGGGGAGGGCTTTACGAGCAGCTCCCATTTATTCCTGCACCATCGGATTCACACAGAGGAGAGGCCCTTCCGCTGCCCCGACTGTGGAAAGGGATTCATGCAGAACTCCCACCTCATCATCCATCAGCGCATCCACACTGGGGAGAGGCCCTATGAGTATCCCCAGTGTGGGAAGAGCTTCTCCAGCAGCTTCTAACTTGACCCGACACCAACAGAGGCACCGGTAAGGGAAGCCCTGCGAGTGCTCCGAGTGCAGGAAGAGCTTTGAGCGCTGCTCCAGCTCTATCCCCCATTGGAGGAGCCACTTTGGGCACATCCGTGGTCACTCACATTCCCTGTGATCCATGTTGGCAACACACTCGGCTGCTTCTCCTTTTCGTTTGGCCTTATCTTTTTTCTCTTCTCCCTCTCTGCAGTCCAAAAGCCAAGAGGGATGGATCTGTCACCTCAAAACCACTCAAATCCCAGTGAAAACCGCTTGATCTTACCTGGAAAGGATTCAGGCCGACATCAAAGCGTTTTTTTCCCCCTGAAACTATCTCTACCTCTTTACAAAGTCACTTGATTCCACAGCCACTGACATGGCTTAGATGGTTTTGGGGAGAGACTGGGAAATGCGGGATCTCAATTTCAAGTTCTGGGATCTCAATTTCAAGTGCTAGGGACTGGGTGTGTGGGATGTATTTATAGCAAATAAAACTCCCAGACTTACTGAAATAAACAGGGCCAGGAGACTTCTTCTCCTTTATAATGCCTTTATTAAAAGTGATCAGCTCAGGATTGGGCGTCCCGGCACGGCTGCAGTCCCCATCGCGTCTCCCAGGGCGACTCAGAGGAGGAGGATATGTGCAGCTCCGTCCACTAGGGGCAGAGCCGGGGATCCAGTCCTCATGGGAGCCTTAGGGCGTGATGTCCCCATCAGATGTTGCTTTTGAGCCTTGCCGGTTACCCTGGTCCCGGTGTTGGGACCACTCCCTGCTCAGGGCGAGAGGGGCTCCGAAGGTGTTCAGCATCTCTGCAGGCTCAGCACTCGGCTCCTCACGTCCAGACATCACTTTAGTCTCTCAACTCTTATTTGGCTCGTTGTTTTTGGGGTTTT